GGGTGGGAGGGGAGAAAAAGCTGTCAGAAAGTCAAATGACAATTACATCATGAAAAATAAAAAAAAAAATACAACGTCCTGCAAGGTCATTAAGACAGAGTGCCCAGGGCTAAATTATATAGCACAGATTCAGTAAAACTGTAGGGCTTTGTTTATATATTTGTTACTGAAAGAAACTGATGGCAAAGTTTGCTTCTGACCACTGATTTCTAAAGCTGCTGCAGACCCTTCTGAGGCGAGAGCTTTCCAGGGTGACGCCTCCCTGATTTACACTTTTCAGGGCTTGTCTGACCTATGGGGTTCATCTTCGCTTTAACGGGAAGCGACAGTTCCCAATGAAATCTCAGCGCCGCTCCTCTGCACTCCTTTCTCTGGGCTAACTAACCACAAAGCACTTCTGCTGAGACATTTCCAACGGCATCCTTAGCTCCAGCATGATAAAATTTAACTTTGCATCTAGTTAGGTCGAGGAAAGATGCTTTACTTTTTTTTTTTTTTTTTTTTGCACAGCCACGTGTTTATATTTATATGGGTGTAGGTGTCTACAGGCTCATGAATATTGTTACGGCCAGGATCAAAACTACCACTTAGTATTACTTTTTGTCAAGCACTTGCCATAATAAGATTCTTTCTCAATTGCTTCTAACTTTACAAAACTTCGTTAGGGCTGAAATGTTCCACACCAGGTATATGCCCTGGGCTCCTTTTTATTTACTTATTTTACTATCAACTGGTCCCACTTTTTCTGAGCACTTCAGAAAAGGGAAAACACACCACCCTGACCCTCTTGGGCTTTTCTGAAACTGTCCTAAAGGCTGGGCATTTTGGAAAAGGGACTTCACGTTCTGCAAGGAGGGATCCTTAGTTTCCAAGTTCTCTTCTTGTGAAAATCTGCCCCACTTGGACAACTTAAAAGCCTGAGTGGGAAAAGAAAAATCACCATTCAGGTTGCCCCATTTAACGTTGAAGAGGTCGGGGTGATTACCCTTGAGCTGAGCACGCGTGGACCTCCCCACGCTGTGGGGATACGTGCTGTCCCTGCCCTGCAGGTGACCATGGTCCTGTTCAGCGTGGCAGGGATGGGCCAGGACCATCCCCGCCACAGTTTTACA